TCATATGGCTTGAACTTCAAGCAGTACACAAGTTGCTTAGATTAGATCTGTTGAGAAGTGTGGGGGAAATGTTGTGTTAGGAAGTAGGTCCAAGTGTCTTGATGAAAACGCATTTTTATCCTTTGTAATCAAGTGGAACCTTTTCTTCTGTTACATGGGGAAGTGTGTGGCTCAAGTGGAAAGGGAGGGATTTTGGAGGAGAATTGAGCTCTACAATCTTATAATTTGCTGTTCTGTTTCCATCATCTTAAGAATCTCTGGAAGTTTTGAAGCTAATTTGGTCCATCATCTATTTCTGCCTATAAAAGTGACTTATTTTTGTTCTGTGTTGCCGGGGGAGGGTTCAAAAACTCGGTGTTCAAATGATGCTTTTTTTGATATGAATGTCTTGTTTCCGCATTGAATTTCTGGTTTTTTAACATAATTGTCTTGGGCAATGTTTTGTTATTTATCTAGTTACAGAATTTGAGGCGATCTATATGTTTTCTCTTTGGATCAGGTACTTAACATCTGTAGGCACTACCACTTTCTTGTAGTATGCTTACTATTCCAGTCAAGTAAGGAAGAACTGAGACTCTTAAGGAAAATATGGAGTGCAATAAAGATGATGCGGTCAGGGCTAAGGCACTTGCTGAGAGGAAGTTTATAGAAAAAAATTATGCTATTTCCAAGAAGTTTGCCTTGAAGGCTCAAAATTTATATCCTGAGCTTGAGGGTCTCTCGCAAATGTTGACAATACTGGATGTTTACGTCTCTTCAGAGAATAAAATTAATGGGGAAGTGGATTGGTATGGAATACTTAGTGTTACTCCTTTTGCGGATCATGAGATGATTAGGAAACAGTATAGGAAATTGGCTCTCATGCTTCATCCTGATAAAAACAAGTCTCTTGGTGCAGAAGGCGCATTTAAGTTGGTTTCAGAGGCGTGGAGTTTTTTATCAGACGAGTCTAAGAGATTAGCATATAACCACAAGAGAGGTTTTCAACATGAAGTTCTATCCCGTACTAGGGGTCCTTCAGTGCAACCCAGTGCAAATACCTTTCAAAATGTTATGAATAGTGCTACCTCAAATGCTAGGGCGCAGCGTGGTCCTACCCTGTCACCTTCATACGGAAACACCGCTACTTTTTGGACTTTTTGCAATCGGTGCCAAACACATTATCAGTATCTCAGGATTTATCTAAATCACGTTCTAGTCTGCCCTAATTGTCAGAAGACTTTCATGGCTATAGAACAAGCTCCACCTCCGAGTGTTTTCAAGTCATCCAGTACCTCTTCTTCCCAGCAGCATCAGAATTCAAGACACCATGCAGCTGGTGGTAACTCACTTAGTTCTGGAAGAAACTGCACTGTACCTCAAAATTTGGGAGCTGGGGGATCTTTAGGTCCTAATTCGTTCAATAAGACAAACTTCAAACAAGGATTTTTCTCCAAAGTGAATAGTGTTGGTGGCCCCGTTGCATCAGGTCATGCTGCTGCTCCAGCTGTGAGTGCGGCTCAACAGGCTAGTGAGAAAATGAAGAGAGACCTGGAGCGGAGACAATCAATCGCTGAATGGGAGAGGAGTAAAAATTTGATGGGAAATCCCTCTTTGAAAAAGAAAAGAATGGATGATAAACATTTGAATGGATATCAAGGAGGCATGGCTAATCAAAGGTCCAAGGGAAGTGATGGTGCTGACTTGGGAGGTGTATCTGAATTAAGTACAGGTAATGTTGGAACAAAAAGAATTTATGGTTTATCTAGTACATACGATAGGCCTAATGTCGCAAGAGAGTTGCCATATCCTGAAATGAAAAAAATCCTGATTTGGAAGGCACGAACTGAAATTTGCAAGATGCTCAACGGGCAGAGTTCAGCAAACAAAGAGCAAGAGAAGGCAAACAAAGAGCAAGAGAAGGTGAAAGTAAATAAGAAACAGAAGACTGTGGTAAATGTTGACACAGTAAAAAAGAGTGGTACTGGTGAAGAGGCCACGCCACCAGTGTCAATCAATGTGCCAGATCCTGATTTTCATAATTTTGACTTGGATCGAACTGAAAGGTCCTTCGGAGATGACCAAGTCTGGGCTGCATATGATGATGATGGGATGCCTCGTTATTACGCTCGAATTCACAAGGTAATTTCCTTGAAGCCATTTAAGATGCGGATTAGTTGGCTTAACTCAAGAAGCAATAGTGAATTGGGTCCGATGGACTGGGTGGGTTCTGGTTTTACTAAAACCTGCGGGGATTTCAGGACTGGCAGACATGAAATTTATGACACTTTAAATTCTTTCTCAAACAAGGTTAGTTGGACAAAAAGCACACGAGGGGTGATTCGCATATTTCCTACAAGGAGTGAAGTTTGGGCACTATATAGAAATTGGTCGCCGGATTGGAATCAGCACACCCCTGATGCAGTGATACACAAATATGACATGGTGGAAGTGCTGGATGATTTTGCTGAGGAACGCGGTGTGTGTGTTGTTCCACTATGTAAGGTTGCTGGTTTTAAAACAGTGTTCCGTAAGCACATGGACCCCAAGGAAGTGAGGTGGATTCCTAAAGAAGAGATGTTCCGTTTCTCTCATCAGGTCCCTAGTCACTTGCTTACAGGTGAAGAAGCACCCAATGCTCCCAAGGGTTGTTGGGAATTGGATCCAGCAGCTACCCCTTCTGAACTCCTTCAGGTGATAACAGAAGCTGATGAGGCACCAATGGCAGAGAATGGTGGGAAAACAAAGGAAGAGATATTTCAAAGTGCCTCAGCACAAGAAGTAGATGGAGGGATGGAGAAAGAAATGTTTCAGGAAGTGGTGCATACCAAGTTAGCCAAGGAAACTAATGCTATAACCCACCAGTAAATTGTGGACATTGCTGAAGATAATACCCCATCATCCAGATAGGTTGTGCATTATGTTTTGCTAACCCTTTTTGTTTTTGCTTAGCCTGTTGCAAGTGTACATGCTTTGTAGCAATTGTCTAGCAGGTGGTACCAGAGTTTTTTGGGATTTTGTGGAAAGTGAAGAAGGTTCATGGGTCTCTGGACAGTTAAACTTTTGTATACTCATGACTGGTCTCGCTGAAGATCAGTTTTATAATATAGCTTTTGAAAAATGAAGGGGATGTTCATGGTCCTTCCTTGGCATCATGTGGATGGATGGTTCAACAGTTACATCTTTAATTCTAGAGTAATATTTACTACATGTTTAGTTTTGTGATCCTAAACTAGTTATGATTTGGCAAAGAGGATAATTTCATCTTTCTCTGTTTCTGTGGAAATATCTTTCCTTACACCCAAATATTTTCTAGTGTTGCACATTCGCATAGCAGATGTTTCTCTTGAAAAGTCCAATACGCGTTGAGCTAAATTATTTGTTCAGGAGACCAAGTTCTGCCAAGCAGAAAAAGACACCTATGCTACAATAATAGAAGTCTCCTCCAATGCTGCTCTGCTTCTTAAATAAAACGAAAAAGAAAAAGAAAAAGAAAAACCCCCTACCAACCCCATCTAGATGTTGACTGAATGCAGCAGCAGCGCATATTCTTTCATCTGCTATTCAAATACTTCATGGGAAATTTTCAATCTTTTAGAACAGAGGACAAAAGGAAGGAGACTTTGACTAATTATTATTACTGTGTTACATGCAAGGAGTCAACACGAAGGAGTTTGAGTGGCCGGCATGAGACCGAGAATCTTTATATATATTATTTAGACCAATTTAATTGTGGGTTGATTTTCATCAGCATGTGGCTCCAACACCATGCAATACGCGCAACTTGAGAAACATAAAGTCTAAGGAAGTTTCATACGAAAATTCCACCATATGCAGGTTTCAAATTCAAACAAGTTTTGCTTATATCCCCTTCCCTTCTAGAACAAGATATAATGAGGAGGAAGCAAGCCACTGTTCCAAAGTACATTCTGGTTTCTTTACAAATCAAATCAAATCAGATCAAACCTATTAGGTCAGTCAGCCTACTCTACTGTGAGAGACACTAGGTACCCCATAGCCCATAGGGCTGTTTCTGTAATTATATATGTATGTACGATCATATCATCTATTTGCTACTGATTTATTAACAATTTTTTCTGTTTAATTCTGGTGTCGACATTGAACAAGCCACCTCGGTGAATGCCAAAATTAATCTTCTAAATTATACATACATATATTTATCATGAATATTAATTAATTAATCAATGTGCATGCATTTGCTTTCAATTGATTGCCATCTTAGTTGTTTGAGTCTGGATCAATATTTGTTATATATATTTCACGGACGAGCTAGGCAACTACTAGAGGAGAGAGAGAGAGAGATGAGTTCTTGTGGTTTGGGATTTCCATGACCACCATGACCACACGGTGGTAAAAGGAATGTTCATTTCTATATATATATATATATATACAATGAATACGATTCATTAATTAATTAAGTTTTACCAAAAAAGAAAAGATTACCATTGATTTTTCTTTTTATATTTGTGTGTATTCCATTGCCAATGCCATTGCTAGCTAGCCTTGTTCATTTCGCCTTCTCTCTCTAATCTACCTCGTGATTTTTGTTTTATTTCTTTGTAAATAAAGGACTTTATGGAGTAAAATTTTAACATTAATAACTTACAGATCTTGGTAGTTTTCGGAACCATACAGGAACATGAGCTAATAAGTACATATTTTACCTTAAATTAAACTATCGCTCACTATACCCTTGATCAATTGACCAAATTCAAATATGTAATTTTTTACTAAAAGAAAAGAAAAAGATGTAATGGAAGGACAGTCATAGCAATATAAAAAAAACAAATTGGGCCCGTTTTGGTCCATGCAGGTAATTTGTTTTTGTTTTTGTTTGAGTAACTTGAGAAAAGTTGTAATGCGATGGGAGACATCCACGTCTCCTTACGATTAAACCACTTCCTTCTATCCCTCTATAAATTAAAACCCCCTCCTCCCTCACTTTTCCTCTCCCTCTCTCTCAAAATCTCTCACATTAGTCCTTCAAGTTTCAACCCTCTCTCTCTCTCTCTCTCTCTCTCTCTCTCTCTCTCTGTGTTTCCAGCTTTCCCAACTCTTTTTATTACTTCACTAAGCTTCACGGCAGGCAGCCACCAATCCATTTTCTGGTGAGTTCCCTTTTTGTTTTGCTTACATTTCCACTACTTTAATTTCATTACATATTTTAGATTGCACCAAATTTGTATTCAATCTCCTTTATTTTTGTGCCCTTGAATGAAAATATTTCTTACCAAATTCATTATTGCATGTTTGTGCTTTTGCTGCTATGTGAACAATCTCCTCCTGCCTCCTGCCTCCTGCACTTTCTTTCTTTTCCCGAATATTTTTCTGCTTCATAAATTAATTTGTTATTAAATAAAAAATATTCGGCTCTTACGGGTTTTTAACTCAGCGAGCGAAACGAGAAAGCGGTTGGTGGTCGTTCGTTTCATTTGACCTCCTAAATGAATTTATTATTTTCAAACGCGACACATAACAAGGTGACTTTGATTCGCCAAAGTTTGAGCTCGTGTGGGCGCTGTAGGCGGTGCACGTGACACTCACGCGCCACTTTTAGTTTGCGTTCTTTGTCTAGAAAATCCTTGTTCGATCCACACGTGTCCTGACATGGGCCCATGAGTTGACTGGGCCTCTAGGCCCACTTCACCCAACTATGCGTAGGAAACTGGGTCACCGTTTCACACAGATCTGGATAACAACCATCCACCGAGTTGACTGGGCCTCTAGACCCGCAGTTTCGACACGTATACGACGTCGGTGCGGTCTGCCACGTCGACGGTGGACATTCTAAGGTTCACCGACTTTCTGTTAGGGTGGGGGCCCCTTTAGCGAGTCTTTTTGCCCTTTTTCCCATGAAATGACTCGTACCTGAAAAACAGTTAACCTCTGTTGTTTTTTGTTTTGGTATCACGGTTTGAAATAGTTGCACGGTTTTGTCTAGTCTTAGTCATTATAAACAATAGAATAAGGTTGGTCGGTCCATTTGTCTCTTAATTATTCGACAGTTACTACCGCTGGCGAAATTTATAGTTTGAATGGTAGAATATTTCATTTAAGTTAACCCATGGTTGTGATTATTGTTTTCTTTCCTTTTCCTCTCACTAAAATACAAGAAAACACAGATCATATGACCTTCACAAAAAGGGTTACTCACAAAGTCGTATGAATTGACCAGTGCTTTTTCACTTTAACAACACTGCTTTTGCTTTTGCTTTTGTCGTCTAAGTATGATTTATGTGATTAAACATTATTATACCGCACTTAATTTCACTTCGTGGTACTTTCTTCGTGGTACCTTTTCCTCTCTAATCCAAACTGTGCCTCTAGACGTGTCGTGTCGTGTCTTGTGTACACAAACAAAGCTTGTCCATCACCTACTTCCCCAATCGACACGTTATATTTGTTCTTTTCTACTTTTTCCTATAATATTTATTTTAGTTTCTATCAAATCATTAAATAATTACACTTTTTTTTTTTGTATCAAAGGCTTTCCCCAAATTTCCAACATTTTGATCTTTCGGTTGAGAAAGTCAAGGGCTCAAGGTTTTTCAAAACATTGCCATATGGGTTTTTTTAATTTGTCATGAAAGTTGTAAATGACAGGTCAATTTTGTGACTTCTTTGGATACACGTGTGCCACTGGTATCTGTGGGCTGTTTCCCATTGTTTTAATTTCTGCTGCCATGGAAATTAATGGAGAAGTACAGGTCCAACAACCTCTGCTGCTTGTTTTAACATAGGAGGAGGAGCTGGTCTTATTTTGCAAAAGAAGCGAAGGACTAATTTATGCATGTTCTTTTTAATTTTATGAATTCATGCATGCATGTTCTTTCACGAGTAACATTAGTACTGCTCTCTCTCTCTCTCTCTATGAAGCTTTCACTGTTGGTTGTCTTGTTCTTTAGGGCCATGTATGTTGGTTGGTTCAGGTTGTGTTGTTCTTGAGAGAGATTAATTGTATTATGATTAGATAATTAAAAATTAGGTTTGAGTTTCATTGATGAGTTGTTTAGTGATCAGTTGGAATGAGGCTAGATGGGTAGTTAGGGTAGGCCCAGAAAAGCCAACCATCTATGTTTTATAAAATAATTGTTATAATTAAGTTTGACGTTGTAGGCCCAGAAAAAACAGGTCTGTCGTAGCTAGAGCTAGCGATGTCTTTGTCATCTGAATCAGCCTGATTGATGACTCCCCCCTGAGACAAACCATCGTAGATTTTACATGTAATGTCGAGTCACCAAATCTAATATTAGTCACTAATTAAATGGCGAAGTGGGTTTTGTTCTTGTTTTTTTGTTGCTTCTATCAACTTTTGCTCTCTGAAATATATCTGGAAGTAAAGGACATTATATATCTCCCTTCCCTTTGAAAAGAAAAAATATGTTTTATCGGAAAACGACCTTAACTTTTGATATTCATCGGATCCTGATTCCTCTGTTTGTTCCATTATGCTTAATTAATTCACTAAAATACTTAATTCTTTAAAGTCTATGGCCTAATCATTTAAGAAAACAGTTTTCACCAATTTTACAATCGCAGTTTTATTTTATGTGTGAAAATGACAATCAAAGTTTCAAACATTGACTCTTAGAATTTTACCAACCAACCACATATACAATACAACATCATTTGCTATGAACTGCATTGAAAAAATGAAAAGAAAAAGCTTTTAGTTAGTTGATAAACCGGAGGGGCCAGGGGTAGTGGCAAGTCCTGTCATATGTCAAAATAAATAAAAAAAGAGGGAGGATAACGTGAATGACTTTGACTTAATAATTTTATTGGGAGCTAATAAAGCTAATGGGTTCTGGGCCCAGGAGCAGAGCTTATCAGGTAGACTGGTAAAGTGTTACCGTGGATTTAAACGTTATTTTATTTCTTCAATTTAAAATTGTAAGAATTGATCAAGTTTTTGTTTATATATATGTTGCAGGGAAGTTTGATTAATTTGAAGCAGCACAAGGACAAGGTGACAAGGTGATGATCATGACAAACCTTGCAAGGCTGAACCAGGCAATGGGACTCCAAAGATCATCAGCTTCTAGTAAGCAGAAGGTGCAACCCATCACACAAGTATTAAAGAACGACGAGAACAGTGGTGATCTTTCCTTAGCATCGATCACCTCAAACCTGCATGATATTTCTAACCCTAATAAACCTATCCCCTCAGATTTAGCTTATAATTCATGGCTGGTACGTTCTTTTTTACTTTCCATAAATTTTATCATTTACAAAAAACTATCTTCACATTTTGGACTTGGCTCATCTGTATGACCATGCATAGTAAGTATATCACTGTCCTTGTTTATATTAATGTCCTTGTTTCTTTCGGGGTTTATAAATGTTTAGGTCGAGCACCCTTCTGCATTAGGCTCATTTGATTGGATGATGAAAGCAGCAAAAGGGAAGAGGATTGTTGTCTTTCTAGACTACGATGGGACCCTTTCACCAATTGTTGATGATCCTGATCTTGCTTTCATGTCTGATGAGGTAATACCGTTTTTGATTTCTCAATCACAACTAGATTTCTACATAATACATATACACACCCAACAAATCCCCCATATATTTACAATACGGTACTGCAGATGCGTGCAGCGGTACGGGAAGTTGCCAAGTATTTTCCAACAGCAGTGATCAGCGGAAGGAGTAGAGATAAGGTAATGAAAAAAGTTCATCATCGATAATCAATTATCAATGTGTTGAGCTCAGGGTAATTTTTATTTTTTTTTATAATAATTTTAATTTGGTGATAAATTAAATATGCAGGTTAAAGAATTTGTACAGTTAAGTAATGTATATTACGCTGGCAGCCATGGGATGGACATAATGGTCCCTCCAAGGCCATTAAGGCCCTGTGATGCCAACAACTACACCACTGCCATGGATATAAAGGTCAATTGCTCTTCTATTATCTGGGGTACTTTATATTAATATATATATGGCCCGAATTAATAATGACAAACTAATTAGTATATATATATATATATATATTAATCTTGCAGGGCAGTGACGTTCTCTTTCAACCTGCTAAAAGATTTCTTCCTGCAATCCAAGAGGTTAGCTTTCATGTTTTTGCAATGTATGTACAAGTGTTCAGATGAGCCTTAGTTTTGAAAAGATTAACTTAATGTGGTTAATTGGTACTGCAGATAAGAACACTGTTGGAGGAAATAACCAGAAAAGTAGAGGGTGCAAGGGTAGAGGACAATAGATTCTGTATCTCTGTACATTTTCGCAAGGTCCGGGAAGAGGTAATATTTACGAATAATCTTTGAAATTCTAATTTCTTTTAGGTCCAGCTAAGCTAATCAGTAATTAAGGACTGTCATTTAATTATATGGATCGGATCCGATCTGCAGGATTATGGGATATTAGAAGAGAAGGTGAAGTCTGTTGTTGGAAAGTATCCGGAATTTCACCTGACGCTGGGTAAAAAGGTGTTGGAAATACGACCATCCATAGAATGGAACAAAGGTCATGCGCTAGAATATTTGCTTGACACTCTAGGCTTCAGCAATTCCAGCGATGTCCTCCCACTGTACATCGGGGACGATCGAACTGATGAAGATGCTTTCAAGGTATAATCAATTAATTTAATTTTCATCCTTAATTAATTATGTGGATAATCAAATAATTAATTAGTTGTATATGCATGCAGGTGATACGAAGTAGAGGTCAAGGGTTTCCAATAATTGTGTCTTCAACCCAAAAGGAGGACACCAAAGCTTGTTATTCTTTGCATGACCCATCGGAAGTATTAACTTTCTTGTTAAGGCTCGCCCGGTGGAGAAAAGCCTCTTCTTCAAGCAGGTCACTAGCTCAAATTTGGGGTGTTGGTAGTAACTTACCTAGATCAGTTTAGCTAGCTAGCTCTAGCTAGCTTTTGTGCATAAATAATAATTAAGAATTATTAGGGAGATTAATGAAGGCCAGTATTTTGTTATGGCCTTAAGGCAGTACCCTCTCTCCCTCTCTCTCTATCTATATATATATATATATATGTAGTTAGAGGTTGGTAGGGATGAAGAAGGAAGAAAACGAAAGCATAGAGAGAGTTTCACTGTTATTTTATTAGTCTGTGTCAGTGAAACTGGTGCCGCCCATGCAGTGCAGCGCATATGCTTTCCAGCTCTTGTTTCTAGCTATAGATATTATACATAATGTAAAAGGAAGACAGTTCGTGTTTGGTGCCCTGCAATATCAATTATGGAGCTTGCATAAAGCCCATTTGCTACTTTCGGCATTGTTGATGTGGATATTTGTTTCATTCATGTGTAAAATGAGTTGGGCTTGGAGATTTGAAGTCATTGATTTGAGAGGTTTATTGGGCTTCATAAGCAAGCAAGAAGCAGTGAATATTGAATTGAATCAACAGGAATTTTGCTTTCAAAACCCAAACTCATAACAATATATAATACTAGAAAGTGAGAAAAGCATATTTGTTTATGTTTCTTTAATTTGAGAGCATGATGAATCATGACATGAGCTAGTTACTAGCAGCAGCAGATGATTCAATTCCAAGCAGCTCTGTTCTGTTCCGTGTCCAAAGTTTGAAGGTCACGAGCCAGAACCAAAAGCTAGCAGAAGATAAGATGGAATCACAAGATGAGACTTAATTTGAAGATATAGATGGAGAAACGTGTTGTAGATCATCTATCTATTTACTCCACATTTACCTGCAGCTGCATATATATGTATAATTATGTTCCAATGAATATTCAACTAATATTAATTGTATGCCCAGATCAACCGAGGGGTTGCTCAATAGTCAACAGTCAACACTCCTCATCGTATTCACGCGTCAATCATCAAGTGCCGTGTAGATGAGGGTTTGAGTTTGTTTTGTTTCGCCTTTTTCCATATTGGGCTACACAGATCAATCAAGGGATGGGAAAAAAGCCTTCATTCTTGAAGAAGATGCATGCATGCAATCCGCCACAATTCTCTACTTCATTTTATATATATATAGGTAGTTTGTGTTTGGTCTGTAGTTGCTAATCAGTCAGTAACCACACACAGATTTTCCAACTTCAAACTTATCCAATGTATTAGAGTGTTATGTACCCTTATATAATACACCAACTTTTTAACAAATTGATAATAACAAATATAAGAAATTGTCACGTTAGTTGGCGCTAGATTCTCGGATACATTAATGTTGATATCATCTTCTCATCAAGTCATTTTCCACATAACTATAATTTGTTTTCTTTATTATAAGGCAGCGAGGTAATTAAAACAGTTGTTCTTCTTGTCTCAGTTGAATGAATCAATAAACAAAACAGTTGTTCTAAATATGGTAGTATAATAATTGGATGAATAATGTAAAACTTTTGAACTAATGATCCAATTAATAGTTTGGATTAACTTTATCCGACAAATTAAGCTTCTTTGTTGCAGAAAGAATTATTGGCTGATTTAAATTGTAGCATCCAAGTTGCAAAGTTTTCTCTGTCGACAAACTTACTTTTGGCTGATATTTCTTAGATATTAATGTTGGAGAGGTGACAGGGGACCCGAGTTAGCAGCAGTCCTAGATCATGAGCCACACCAAACCCTATTTTTATTTTTCTTTGATGACCAATAGGCATTCATATGAAAATCTGAATCAAAAGATTATATAAAATTAATATTTATGTCTTAGTGGTGGGCTGGTGGCAGTGGAATAGACTGGTTAATTATATAATTTATTATTAATTGTCACAATAATTCCTCATTAACAATTTATAATTGGATATTATAAAAATCCAAGAATTGATACTCCACCTTTGTGAGAGTCATGGTTGATTTTCATTGGCTGCAGCTACGATTTCATTATATTATTGCTGGGTCAGGGTGTACACAAACAAACACAACGTACGTAATCTTATATTCCACATTCTTTCTTTGCCTAAAATTAATTAGTTTTGTAAAACTAGCTCCGCTGATAACGGATCCATCTCATAGCATAATTTGTGCCGAGTGAGTCAATAGAAATTATTCCTTGCGTTGCTCAATAATTGATGCAATATTGCATTTTTGCTGCTATATATACATATATGCTTGACAGATGTCCTAGTAGAAGATGATGATCCCATGGAACAAGTGTCTCAAGTTAGGGTAAGAAAGGGTTTGGTCCAACTTTCTCCACAATCTCAAGGAATATGTTATATGCTTGACAGATGTCCTAGTAGAAGATGATCCCATGGAACAAGTGTCTCAAGTTAGGGTAAGAAAGGGTTTGGTCCAACTTTCTCCACAATCTCAAGGAATATGTTGGCCTAACTAGCACCGAGGAAGGAGGATACCAAGAACACCATTTTATATAGGAATCGATCGGATACGGTTTTGTTTGCACAAGTTGCTTAGAAGACAATAATTCCATCAAAATCAATTTACCCCTTTTGCTAAACCTCTTTTTGGCCATCTTTTTTATTTATTTTAATAATTGCAACCAACCGCGAACCGCCAACTAACTTCAAAGCATCGCAAATGATGAATCGTTTTATCATTTTGTGTCAAGTCATTTTCATACAAAAATTTAAAATTAAGCCTAATTATGAATGACATGAAGTTCAAAAAGTCAGACGATGTCGTTTTAGTTGCTACCGACAAAAACAAAAGGGTTGAATTGAAGAGCCAACCCAATCAATTTTCATATGAACCCCCCCATCCCCATGCCAAATAATAAAACACTCTCCCTTTTCTTTTCTTTTCTTTTCTATATGATCCATAACCCATGACCCATGACCCATGACCCATGACCCATCTTCAACACTTGACAACTTTTTTCACGTAAATTAATTTGAGACTTGCCTTTTTTTCTACTCTGCTCACGTGCACGTGCATACGATGCAGCCGACCTTCTACGCACACTTTCCCGACCCCGCCCGAGTAACGAGAAATATAACCTTCCGCATTCTCTTGTGAGCGCGTCAGTATTACTCTCGAATCTTTGTTTAGAGACGTTCTTTTGCTCTTTGCCGTTTCCAGACAGACTCCACAGCCCCCCGGCCTTTTCAGGTAAAGACTGCGCTGTGCCCTATATGAATCCCACGTGCAATTATATCTACAAATTCGGCTTCGCAGGGACCGCCATTTTTTATTGTCTTGCACGCCAACTACCAGGCGCGTGCGAAAGGGACGGCCTTACTTGGGCCCCGCGGGACCCATCTCATTTATTAACAAATAACGATAATACAGAAGATTCGAGAGCAACTACTGAAATAAATAAAAACACCTCGAAAGAAAAAGAAAAAGAAAAAAAAAGTCTTAATACTGCTCTTAAGCGTACCTTGACTTTCAAGTCTTTCTTTGAGTTTTGATTACTCCAGAAAAGAAAACGCATGCGAAAGGGACGGCCTTACCTGGGCCCCGCGGGACCCATCTCATTTATTAACAAATAACGATAATACAGAAGATTCGAGAGCAACTACTTAAATAAATAAAAACACCTCGAAAGAAAAGGAAAAAAAAGAAAAGAAAAGTCTTAATACTGCTCTTAAGCGTACCTTGACTTTCAAGTCTTTCTTTGAGTTTTGATTACTCCAGAAAAGAAAACGCAAAAATATTTTTCCCAAGTCAAACTCAACTCCCCCATAGAAAGAAAAAAGTCAAAATTAACTCATCTAATGGTTAATTATTTTGAAATAAACAGAAATGTGCAATGAAATTGTGATGTTAAAAACAAAACAAAACAAATAGATCATGGCTAGTGTTGAGCATGTACTAATATTTTGTATAATAGTATCTTAACATTATTCATTCAAGGCCATGTGACCCTAACTCTCTAGGGATCGAAGCCCAACGAAAGCTAAACCAAACAAAAAATATATTATTGGTTTGAAAAAAACATTAATTAATTAAGAGAGCTGATTGGATTATTTGAAAGAGAAATAACCTACCCCTTACGGGCCGACCCGGTGTGAGTGGGGATTAGTCTGGGTTGTGGTTAAGGCTTAAAGGTGCCACCCATAGTTGGGGCCCATCCAGGACCACATCATGGTTCAGACAAAAAAAAAAGAGAAATAACCAAAAAGAACAAAATTGATTAAAAAGTATTAAAATGCAAAAGAGGATGTAAGTGGAGAAAATAGTAGTGAGAAAATCACCTCCTTGATTAATTATAGAATCGAACAGTAAACATTAATTTAACTTAAGATGAATTGAATGACGAGAGAGGTGATTGGATTATTGAAACTTAAAATATTGTATAAATACTCTTTTGCCCTTCACATTTAGGACATTAACTAACGACACAAATCATTAAATTCAAAGCACTCTATAATGAACAAAAGGATTGTAGCTCAAGCGGTCAAGGCCAATTCACGTGTGACAAAATCCCCTCTCTAATCCAAATGGCTGTGTGGGTGGTAGGTGTAAATAAAGCAGCCGCGGAGTGACAATTTAGTCAGAAAAAACACAAAATCCGCAGAAACAGACAGGTGAATGGCATGTTCATAGTTATGTTCAAAAGAAAGGGCATTTGTTAGACAGGAAAAATATATTTTATTGCAGCAAATTGCAATAACAAACAAAAGTAATTACAAATTGCAAATTAATTAATTAATGGGGAGTTTTTAGTTTCTATATTTTTTGGGTTGAAGTAATAATAAATTATTAAAGGTGAGATAGGTGATGAGGATGATAGGGAGGCCTGAGGTGAGGCGCTTCTTCTACGGCGGTGAGTCTCATACACTTCTCTCTCTCAGAGACCTAACTCTCTTTTTCACACTTACAAGGTTTGACCGAGTCGAACCGAGTTGACTCTCTCCGAATCAATCCGTATTCAGCTGTACTCTTCCTTGTTCTTGTTGTTGCTCCTAATTGCAGAGCGCAGACGGAAAACGAAAGGTGGAGCTAAGTCTGCGCTTGATTGGTCAGTTTATTTCATGATTGATTGTTTTTTTGTTGGCAAGGTCGTTCATTTTTGTGGGTTTTAATTGAATGTATCGTTATCGTTTCAGAAGAAGCAGAGGAAGAAGAAGAAGAAGAAAATGAATGGGAATAAGAATGGAGGAGGAGCAGGGTTTGGTGGGATTGTGGGTGAATACATTCGAAGGCATCACAAGCACGACCCCAAAGACCATCAGTGTACCTCTACGCTCGTCAGGCACATCAAAGCCCCTGTTCATCTTGTACCTCTCTCTCTCTCTCTCTCTCTCTCTCTACATATATATATA